ATTTATGATTGAAGAAACAAAATAGAAACCGAATTCTGATCTCAATAGTCTCCTCATTCTTATTTGAGCCAACATGTCATGTGGTCTGGTAAGGGCTCTTGTACGGCCCGGTACACGTGTTTCGACCTTAGAGTTACCAGCCAAAGAGCGATCGAGTGTAAAACGCTGCAAGTTCGGCGACATTTTCACCTGACTTACAGTGTAAATCGTTCGTCTTCGATACCTCTCTGTAGGGAGAGCAGGCTCACGAAAGAAGTAGCTCATAAAAAGATTAAAGACGACGGATTCTGCCTGACTGACGAGGCTGTAAGGTCGAAACACGGGTATTGGGTTGTACAAGAGTCCTTACCAGACCACATGACATGCTGGTTCGAATGATGATGTAGAGATTTATTGAAATTCGAGAATGGTCTTGAGAAAACACTCGAAATAAAGTATAATACGAATTTGATTATTGAAAGTGTTAACGCAATGGCAGCTTCACTAGGCAAATGAAATTTTTGCTGGTTACCTAAGCTTTCCTCTGCTTCAAATATAAAAAAAACAAAATGTTAGTGGCTCCCAGACAGTAAAAATTTTATGTTGACAGAATAACGAAATTAGAAACTAAATAGCAAGATATCTTTCGATTCGAGTGTTTTCTTAAGACCACAGCTCAAATTTCAATATGCCTGATGATCATTTTTTGAGCCACGCATGTCAGTGGTCTGTCAAGGAGATATGATATCAATCGAAAGATAAGATATATTGAAATTACCAGCCAAGAGCAATCGAGTGTACAACGCTCTATGATCGGTGAGATTTTCACTGGACACAGAGTGTAAAACGTTCATCGTCGCTAACACTTAGTGAGGGGACTGGAGCACCCACAGAGATTAGCAAAAGGCGAGAAAGGGTAACTGCCCAACTGACGTGATCGCAAGATCGAAACACAGTGTATCGGGCTCTAGAAGTCAGCCCTCATTGACAGACCACTGACATGCGTGGCTCAAAAGATGATTATCAAGCATCAATAGCAAGAAATTGTAGAATCAAATAACTTTCACTCCAATAAACAGAAACCGCTACGAGCTGAGATATGCTTGCTGAGAACTGAAAATCGCAGTTGCTTCCAGAAGTAAAATTCTGAGCAAGTGTGCATTGAAATATATGCTGAGTTAGTGCACAGAGACACGTTCCACTACGTTAATTTCAGAGCAGAACTTGATACACGATACACGAGCAGCGACAACTGAATTTAATCTATATGACCTCACTTTACGAAAATAGAAAGCAGTCATTCACAAAGTCAAAACTTACGAAGCGTTTATTGTAACTATATTCTCCATATCATTTTTGTTGAATTCTGAGGTAAAAGGCTTTCCCCTTTCCATAATATTAACGTTGAATGAACGAGAAACATCTGGAATTATGATGTTACAATGAATCAAATATAGCCACATACTCACAAAAGCACATAAACAGTTCAGATGAAAAGGAACTCTCAGATGTAGACAGAAATCCTGAAAGGAAGTAAATAATGGTTTCAGGTTTCGAAAAGTGTAAAAGTGCAGTGAGATATATGCCTACACAAAAAAAATTTGAGTACTAAAAACAGAGGTTTACTAATTCGTGAAGCAAAAGAACTTGAACAAACTCACCAAAAGCTTGTTGGAATTCAACGCAGAGTTCACGACCATGGCAATCTACTCGAAGAGTACATGAAACGAGACTTTTCTCCATGAAAAAAGCACTTTTGAACAACGATAAAGCAGCCTAAAAAAACTTTTCTTTTTCAAGCGAATCTATTAGAAAAGCTCCTAGCACTTGAAATGAAGTCGTATTGGTCAAAAGTCAGAAAGAAAATTAACTTAAATTACTATACCTTCATTGATACCCGACTGTGCATCGCCCCGCTGTCTGGGATAGATTTTGTGTCATAAGACGAAAAGAAATAGTCCACAAATAGAAAAACACCGTAGGCCGATCGTGTTTTATTGAAAGCTTTCAAACATATCTAGAAAATATTTTCAAAAGTTATGGGCTCCAGTAACTAACTAATTCGTTTATATACTCACACCATCTTTCTGAGGTCGCAAGTACAGTTCGTCGCTTAGTTTACTAAGTGCTGCAATGGCACTGGCAAACACTGAAAAATAAGAACAGTCGAATTCATGCCGGACACACATGACCCAACTTAATCTTATTTACAAACTAGAATTTCACCAAATAAACATTTGATCCATTATGCCTCATGAATAATTTCCTTTTCTGGCCCAAAATAAAGAAAAACAAAGCCTGCACTTTGCACAACTGGCCTTGAAATGTTCGCACTGCCAAAAGCGATTTCCGTCCAGCGACGTTCCAGATACAAACCGGCTACGAGATAGATTTCTCGGCACGGCGCTGTGGTCATCTCCTGATTTGGAGAGTTTTTTTATGACATTTTTCAAGCAATCGCGATTTTTTAGGGCTACAGCACTCATACATCGAATATTCCATCGACGAACTAACGTATTATCGAACTATCGAACTACGTATACAGAATGAAGCAGTATACGATGTCTGCAGTTGCTTAAGCCTTCTGATTTGAGTGGTAGGGCTTGCGACTACATATTCATCTTATACGACCCGTTATCACACTTGGACGGATGGTCTCATTCACAAATAATTGCGAAGAAGGTGGTGAGCAAATCGTTATAATGTATGTTATCACGAAGTAACATACTAGTTCAACTCAAAACTTCGCCTACGATGATGTGCACATATCGTATTTCTTACTTCGCTACTTGAACGGTTCGTCTTCATGAATTATGCGGATCTTAGCACATGAAAATGTGCTGGTTCAGCTGTTCTGTTCCCTGGAGTCCCGAAGTAAGTCTAGCATCCTCAAGTCGTCACCACATTAGAGCAGTCGTCGACCCTTGTGGATCAGAAGGAAATTATCATCTCGCGACTGGCAGCTACCGAGACGGCGGTCATTCCTGTACAATCTACTCTTAGCTGGACTTTTCAGTGGAATATCGAGACCCTTTACAAATTGCGTGTCTTGCTGAAAGTTAAACCTCGCGCCTTTCTTCGTAGTCCAACAACTCCCGGCCGCAATAGGCGGTCAAATAAAACGAATTCTGATTGATTATCAAAGCCCAATATCTGTCAGCATAAAAGGGTTTAATGTCGATAGTGACTGACCACGCCAGACCGTAGACGGTTGGCTTTCGATAGGTAACGCGCTGTGGTGTAGAACGAGTGGTGTGAAAACGAGCGTCGGTAGAGCAACGGTTCAGCAAGCGCTCCCGGAAAGCGTGAAATATCAGTTCGAATCCCAGCTAATGCAAACGTTTTCGCACACCACTCCACATTACTGGATAACCTTATATTTATGACTAGGTAACAGGTGTAGTCCTCTTAAATTTTTAAGATGTCGCATTTCAGAGTGTATCGCTAGTTTTTTGGAAATCATTAACTGCACCGAGCACCATTTCGATTCTCATTCTTCCTACTTGAATCTCTCTTCGATTAGTTATCAAATGAATATACATGCTTTCTAAATGATTTTCGCAATGAAACTGCATAATTTTCTTGCGAACATTTTGGTATACAACTTTCCTATACTTGCTTTAACATGGGGCTGTCTTGGAAACAAATCTGCTTACTACTCATGCAGGAATGGCGCGATAGGGGAAATGCTAGTGAAGCGACGTGGAAAATTAGTGGGAGCTTGGGGCGACGATACGGTTCCAGAAAAGACGGCTACGAAATGGTTCGCGAAGTTCAAACGTTCAGTTATACTGTTTTGAGCGAGGTTAAAAAAAAAAAGAAGGTACTACTTTGAGAATACTTTGATTATCAATTTTATTTTTGCTCGAAAGAAAGTATTGCAAAAATCATATGGGAAAATCGAAAACGGTACCACAAACTTTTTTCACAACCTTTCTTTGAGTCATAAGTGTTCGTCTACAAGATACGACATAACCTCATAGAATGCATATTACGCACTGTTATATAAATTGTCAGTCCATCATTCATAGATTAGTAGGACCGATATCAATGCCGATGAAAGATATCAAACCAAAAAAAAAAACACTGTACTTTCATCCTAATGCTTTCATTAAAGACAAAGGATGAAGGTCTCGACGTTGATGAATCTCCGTGGGATGCATGATGTATTCAACATCATCAAGAATCGTTTGAGGTGCCTGAATATATATCTTGCCTTATAATGACTAGCTGTGGTCCAATAGCGTGTCAAGTCAGTGCTGCTATCGTGCGTCGTCAGACAAGTTTAGTACCGATTCGCCGAGGCCGGAAGGATGGAAAGCTTGATAAGACTTGGGCACGGATCAATCCATCGATCATGTGTGTGTCGCAGACTATCTCTTATCTAATCACACGCACCTATCCTTTTAACAAAAGCTTAAGTAATAATGAAAAACAACATTTACCAACCTCTAACGTTTGAATGTAGCACGTAAACAGCACAATTCGAGCGAACAGTGGAAGCAGCACTTTTATTCGTTCGGTTGAGAGATTCATACGACTTGTCATGATCCATTCTTCTCCTTGACTACCGCTAGACCGAGTGGTCTGAAGGATAAAGACTTAACTAAACTCTAATTACTCATGAACTAGCAAATATTAGCTTGATATCAGCTGAAAATCGAAGAAAAAGTGAGTGTAACTTTTGTGAAGAGCAATTCAAAATCATTGAACTAAAAACTAAACAAGTAACAATCATGCAAAATTTTAATTGAAGACATGTTGATTGACAATAAATTGCTTTATAACATTCTGGAGATTGCATGGTGCGACGAGTCTTTCTCTCTCTTTAAAGTCTCTCTTTAAGGTTTTCGAGCAGGTTTCGAGTCAACTATAACTCGATCCTGGACAACGAACTAGTCCAAACAGATATTTTAGCTGCTTCTCCAACTTGAAAATCCACCAGATTCCGTTTATTTTACTGCTTTCCTAGTATTAGTATGATGTTGAAATATTCCATCAGAAGAATGAGTACAGAAAACCGACCTCAATTGGGAGTTGAACCCGTGCTTCACCTTTAACGGGGGTGCGTGCTACTACTACACCACCAAGGCCACCGCTTTGTGACCACTCTTTCTTCGATATGCACTATCGAAAACTGTAAGCAATCACCCTTTAGAGAGTTTGAATCTGGTAAGCGCAAATCGGCACCAAACGCACTTGGGTCGTTAGGTTTTTCTATACGTAATGAGTTCATTATTGAAGGTAGAATCGAGCAGTGGGCAGGTCACAAAGCGATGGTCTCTGAAGTGTAGTGGTAACATGCGTCCCGTTAAAGAGGACAACGCAGGTTCAACTTCCGCCTAAGGTCGATTTTTTGAGTACCACTCAAACTTCTCGAATTGAAACTACTGTTATCTCTATAACATTGCCACATATCAGATCCACAGCACGATCAATAGATCTCAAACTCCTTTCTTTTCTCACTTTTCACTGTGCCGGTGTCAATAAGTAGTGTATGTATCAATAATCTCACGATTTCCGAACCGCACTCGGAAAAAGTGAGACGTTGATTTGACCCTTTCGAGACAGTGGTTCCACGGCCTCTGCATCTCTATCTGGCAATTCTGAACGGTCTGCTCCACCTCCTCGGTACCTCCAACCCCAGCGTGCCACTACTAGACGCAGCACGCTGGGGATTAGAGATGCAGGAGAGGTGGAAGCAAGACCGCCCAGAGTTGCCACTTATTAGAGATGCAGGGGCGAAGGGTCCACGGTCCCGGAAGGATAACTCCCGGCTGAGGTTTGTGGCTCTGACCAAATAATTCAACGTTCTTGGATATATAGTTACGACATCATAATACTGCTATTTGGCACTAAAATGAAGGATTATTGAAAATTATACCAGCACTCACCTCATACAGTACTCAATAAATAACAGCTCCCAAGCAATAATTACACCACCTGCTCCTCGATCATGCGCCTGCCTAAAAAAGGTAATCAACATTCAACACATTCACGACGAAATAGTTTTTCTTTCCCCGAAAGACGATAAATTCTGGATTACTGGAACATTTTCACGAAGACAGAACTGTGAAGAAAAGAACTGGTCTTGAAAGACTATGGAGACGTAACAGCAAGGTGCTGCTGTACTTGAAACATCAAAAGTAATTCGAGTAACAGAATAACTATTAGATAAGGGTGGGAATGATCGTCTGCAGTCGCTGTTTACATCAAAGTCGAGTAAACGCTGTAAAAGTTCACCACTCATGCTGATGCGAGGAGGGCTGGAAGCCGAGTGGCTAATGATGCTCGGCAGGGCTCAACGCAGGTTTGATTCCTCCAGCTTCAACACTCGCCGGCGGTCAGTACGAACGCCGCACGGAACGTTCCAGCCTGGCTATCCTCGAGATGACAAGGAGATGCGTTCAACAAGTTATTCAAGACAAATCCTCAATCGAGCGATGAACACGAGGAGAGAAAAGAATGTGGAAGTTATTCTGGCTTCTATATGCAACAATCTGCTGTTTGTCGGAGTACGAAAGGCATCAAAAGCGAGGCTGTGGCGTTCCGTAGGGCGCTCGTCATTGATCGCCAAAGAGTGCTAAGGGATGGGTTCAACTCTGCGTCGAGCGCCACTCGGCTACCGCCCCCAGTATAGTGCTAAATGAAAACGAATATCGGCTTCAATTCTTAACTTTCGCTTCTTTCGCTGACTCAGAGTGATGTGATTGAAAATAATACTATTATAACAGGACTATCTTACGTTCACAAGGCCCTAGAGGAGATCGGCAAAGGTGTACAAAAAAAATCGATCATCGATCCGTTCTAATCCGATAGAATGTTTTGAGCTTTTCGGAGGTCTGGCGAAGGCATCTCTACTGGTATACGTGCGTTTCGGCTTATCCCTGCACACCTCAGTGGTACTCTATACCTCTCGATTATTCCTGGTAGCGGCGCTAAACATCTATCACACTTCGTCAAGTGAAAAAGACCACTCAATGTGGTGTTTCTATCACAGTAGTTGATTGCCGATTGCATGGCTTACGGGTGTTACGTGGGCATATGTAACAATACCTATCAATCGACTGTCTTGAGATCCCCCTTGAAAAGTCTATTTGATCTGAAAGAAAGATAGAATGGAAAAAGCCGATTTATTGTCATTTCATGTTGACATTCGGTACTGGAGATGAAGCCTGAGATTCGTATGAATTTCCGGATTGATTTTCAATAGAGAAGCTGCTAGCGCCAGCAGCACTGATCATTCTTAAGACTTTCCATGCCTAAGGCCTCACATGAGACATATACGACTCATAGCGGCAGGACAATGACTTTCAAATAATTAGCGAAGAAAATAACGAGTATATCTCGGCCTCGTTGCGCATAACTTTAATTCTCAAGCAGTTTCACGTAAAAAAGGCCCTCGATAAGTTTGAAAAAAGACAATTAAATTTTTTGGGCATTCAAATTTTTTACTAATAGAATTTCCCATTATCGATCGATATTGATTGGATCAGAAGCGATACGACGAGTACGGAAAACATCGAGACCTAAGAAAATGTGAATACTTGGGCAGAATCGACAGAATCCTGGGACGACGGGCGAAATTGAAGTAACCTAATGGACGCGCCGACCAGACGAATTTGGAAGGAATTTCGACCAACACGACGTCAATGCACGAATTAATAAGCTTACCGTTATGACGGCAGGGTGAAGTGTAATGTCGTCAGGTTAAAAATATTGAAATTTTCGGTCCCCCCTCCTCCCCTGCTATTTTTTTTTAAGACTTCCTTTTTTTATCGCTACAAAAGTGGAGGCCACGCCTCCTCGTTGATGCATTTTGTATACAGGATATTCGTTCATGTGTGTATCATGTATATACGTGTGTATACACATGACAGACGTACATACACGTGTATAAATACGTGTGCATGCGCTTATATGTGTATATATATGTGTATCATGTTGCTTAGATACTTGGGCAGCCCGCCTTTACTGTTAGTGCGGACCTGGGCCCATGAAAATGTCATGGCTCAGCGGTTTTATTCCGTGGTGTCCCGAGGTAGTCTAGCCGGAGCTTCCCATGTCGTCACCACGTTGGAGTAGTCACCGGCTCTTGTGTAGATCAAAAGCAGATCACCACCCTGCAACTAATGGCTGCCAAAACGGCGCTCGTACCTCGTGCGGTCATTCCGTGGGGTTCTTGAGTGGAAACGCCGGACTCCTTTTCGGATTGAATGACCCTGCTGGGGGATTGACCCTTCCCCCCCCCACTTCGCATTCCCACACCCAGGAACACCTCCCAGCCACGATGAGGCGGCAAACCATCTGGGAGAGTGAATGCGGACTACCATATAACTATATGTAGTACGTATTGTTATTACCCGGGAGGGGGGTCGTGGCCGAATGGTTGTGATGCTCGTTGTGGCGCGCGTGGAGCCGAGCTCCGCCCCCACATTCTCCGGCAGTCAGCAAAAACGCCCTGTGGAGCCCCAGGGCCAGGCTATCCTCGAGATTGCCAGGAGACGTGCTCGACCAGTATTCTACGTCATTCAGAAAGAACACGAAAAAGAATTGGACTGCTAGTAGTACTCGGATCACGCATAATACAAATTGTGATCACGGATCGTGTGAAAGAATAAATAAAAATTGTTAATTAATCATAATTCTTTTTATCTGACCGCCACTTGCGGTGGTATGATCTTGTAATATACCCAATAATGTGGAGTGCTGTACAAAAACATTTGCATCAGCCGGGATTCGAACCGAGATCTCACTCTTTCCGGGAGCGTATGCTGGGTTCGAATCCCGGCTGACGCAAATGTTTTTGCACAGCACTCCACATTATTGGGCAAAAAAATTGTTATTACATCGTGAATACGTATGCATACTTATATATTTGCATATGTATGTACGTGCACGTATATTGTGTATATACGTACACGTATATGTACATGTACATGTTTACATATATTGGGTTGGTGCGAAAGTAATTGCGGTCTAGAAGTGTTTGGAGTTTGCCGTTTTGGTGCTGGAATATATTTAAAAAAAAACCTCAGAGAAACTGAGACCGCAATTACTTTTGCATCGGTCTAGTGTTCGCGTTGCTCTGCATCTTATAGCTTTCTTCCATTTTCCGTTGATTGTTATTTGCAATGATCTCGTTTGTAGTTTCATTGAGACTGTCATAAGTGGACGCCAGGGGTCGCCGTTGTCGTGATTTTCGTGGATCCACACCCTATAGTGTCCGATTCTATGTAAGTCGACGACTCGTTCTCTTCTATTCCTCAGCTGTCGAATTGAGGATATTTTTGATAGCCTACAGGGTTTTTTTTTTGCTAATAACCTAAAGCATGAGGTCGTTATGATGTAAACAGGTCTGCCCAGTTGTTCTCCATTTGGAGAACTCAGTGGAGGACTCATAGAAAGCGGTGAGTGAGTGGAAACGTGAATTTCAGGTTTTGTAATTTTCTTCAGTTGCAGTGAAGGACTGCTTGGGTTGTAGACGAACTGATTTTCCCAGGCTCTGAGGAAAACCCGAACTCGTCGAAACATCTACTGCTTAAACAATTTTATTATGACGACCTCATGTCCTGGTTTATCAAGAGAAACTGCGACCATTAAATGTTTTCATTGGTCTCTTCGTTGTATTTCGTCTGAAATTCTTTTAGATGCGAATGAGAGAATGCATGCGGAAATGTACTGAATCCGGTGGATGCATTTATAGTTGTGTCCAGGTTGGTCTCTGATAGAAGCGGAGTTAATTGGCTGAATCGGAGCCTTTTTTTCTATTTTATTTCTTTTTTACTTCTTCTAAAGACATAGTTTCTTAGAGTTATTCGTCCAAACGATTGATTGCATTCCAAGTGCTTCATATGTCGAATTATTTTGTCAATTTTACATTAATTAAAATTTTTTATGTGAATTTTTGAAAAGGTTCCTGAGACTCATTAGTTCACATTAGCTTGAAGGCTTAAAAAAATCGACTTTACATGACCTCGAGAAAGTAAGCTACCGTGTCCTTCATGTGCGAATTTTCGAGGCATTCTTAGCGACAAATGTTAGAAAATGTTGAAAACTGATAGATCATTATTACTTATTTCAGTCCTGAATCA